TGACTATGGATGCCTTTTTAAATGCTTATCGTCACATTATCCATCAGATACATATTTACAATCATTCATTAAATTAGGATGTACGTTTCATTCTTCTTTCGTAGAATATTAATGCCTACTCCTGGCTGAAATGCCATATGAATATTCATTAAAAAATCAATCAATTCCTGTGCCAGGAATGATGTCATTGGAGCAATAACTGAAGCAGTAATCGAGCATGCTATGGAAAAACGATGAATGCCATCAGATCTAATGTTTATTGAATTCCGGGTGGGTAAATCACAGGAGGTTTTTGCCATCCTTTTGTGTGCATTAACTGGTGCTCCAGTTCCTCCTCCTGCCCGGCACCGGTCAGCCCACCAGGAGCAGGGAGCACCTTGGAGCAGGTATGAGACACCCCCAAGGATGGATGAGGCTGGGGGCCGGGTGGGATGTCACATTGCTGCAGGGCTCTTAATGAAGAGAGGATTAGAAATCTGTCTTACAACAATGGGAAACAAAAGCTCTCCAAACTGTTGTGGGAAAGCTGGGAAATTAATAGGCTGAGGTCCCCTTTCCAGCAGATCTTTGGCTGGCAAAGCTCTTTCTCATCACTTTGAGCATTGTCCTGAGGGACTTCAAGTGATGGCTTTTCTTGGGTTTTCCTCTCGCTTTTTAATGGTGGAGCTACCAGAGCAAATAGAGAATAAAGAGTAACAATACACTTCGGGAGGAATCATTATTATTCTACATTTTCTCACATCAAGACTTTCTCAACAATAGCAAAGGAGCTGTGCCAATGCATGGGCTCTGACTGCAGCTCCTGTGATAAGATCACACTCTGCTTGTGTGGGAAATATTAAGAGTTTTGGCTTGACTTCAGCAGCAAGAGTCGCTTTGCAAGTCTTTTGTGTGCAATGCACCAGCTTTAGATGAGAGATGCTTTTCAGGATCCGCTTTTTGCCGTAATAAAATCCTCCATCGGGTCTGCGGAACAAATGTCACAGAGCATTTGTCCTGGGGAGAAGTGGGTTCGGTTGTAACTGAACACATTGCCAAAGGTGATCCTCAGGACATTCTCACCCTATGTTGGAGCTGAATATTTAGGGAATGTCACAGTCGTAAGACATTAAAATCCTTAGCATGAATTAAGTTATTGCTTAGTCACTCCGATTACCTCCATCACTCAAAATAAAGGCTCAAACCGTCCTATGTGCAGCAGCGATGTTTCAGCTCAGAGCTGCAGGGCTGCTCCATCCCCCTGCCCTCCCCATGGACTCCAGCCATCAGTGGAGAAGACAAGCCCAGGTTGGCTGGTTTAGCTGTCACGTGTGAATGGTGACAGGTAACACCTTCAGTGGATGTCGGTGTCAGTATTGGCCCATTCCCAGTGGTGAAGGAGCCGCTTCCCAGCAGCACCCACCGGTGACACCTGGTCCTGGGCTCCTGGCAGAGGAGCAGCAGGGAGCCAAGGTTACCCGCTTCCACCTCCAGCACTGCAGCATCAACTCGTGCATCGCTGCTCTGACAACAGTGACTTGCTGTGTCAGTCACATCACAGACACTTCAATCCAAAGTGTTCTTCTATGGAAAGGAAGGGGAAACACAGACCGATTATGCCAGGCTCATTTACATGCTTAGCTTAGAGAAACGAGCCGCCTGACTCCGTCTCAGGCGGTGTGACGCTCTCACTGAGGGCGTCATCGTCTCCTGCAGAGAAGATGCGCAGCCTCCTCATCCCCTTCCCACCTGGCCAGGGATATTCGCCTCTCCAAGGTTGCTGCTTGTGTTTCTGTGCACCTAGTTCCCCGAATGGTGAGGGATGTAAGAGGATGGGTAGGGAGAGGCTCAACACCATTTATTTGCTTTGTGGTCAACTTTAGAGTAATGAAAATTGCCATGCAAGAAAGACTTTGGAAAAGGGATAGTTCTGTCAAAGAAATGAGCCATTCTATGTGTCCTGTCCCAAGTTTCACAACTCTTTAAAGCAAAAGGTGACCTCAAATGCAACGCGCTGCAGTGGGAGCAAGCCCTAAAGGGTCTGGTGCTGCAGCCATCCAGGTTGCTTGGCACAATAGGTCCTGTGCTAACAAGATGCATGCTCACAGAGCCAAGAGAAAGATGCTGCATCTGGGAAGCAGAAATCCTGATCAGGCCTTAAAGAGGAAGCAGTGAGCCAGAGAAAGGCTTGTAAAGTCCTGTGAATTGTGCCAGTTGGAGTTAATGCAGTTTCTGAGCAGTAAAGGCAGTTACATACCAAGGTCATTTACAAGAGGATGTTCTATCCACCAACACGTTGGGTCTTTAAGATGAAAGTAGATATTTCTCTGAAAAAAAATTATTTAAATGATGCTCTTGGGAAAAGAGTCTCCATTCTGTGTCTGGGGAGGTCAGGAGCCTTCCAGCACCAGCCTGGCAGCATCAGCTGAGCCAGGGCACTCAGTACCTGCACCTGAATTAACACAGCCAGAGGGAAACCACCTCCTGGAGCTGGGTTTTCTCTTCTCCCACTCATCACCAAACCCTCCTGTAATAAATAGCTTCTGAAACAGGCCAATAATCCCTTAGTCTGTTGTTGTCCTACTCTCACCGCATGGGATCCAGCTGGAAACAAGCAGTGCCTTGTGCTCCTGGAGCAGTTCTCATGCCAGGAGCTGAAGGATGTCTCTGTTTACAAACAAGGAAAGGCTTTGTGCGCACAACCCTGGACCGGTTGAGGTAGGACAATGCGGCCACCTTGGAGACATTCTCATTTCTGTTTGTTTTAACTTATTCCTCATCATTTTAATGTACAACAAAACAACCATCACCTTGTCAGCTGTGTGGCAGAGGGTGATTCCTGAGCCTTGTGCAGCTGCTTGATGTAAAGGACTCAGAACTTCATTTACTTTATTGATAATAAATAACAACTGCAACCTCTGCTTCCATCACATGGGCTCGCTCTGAGCTGTGCCTTATCCTATGAGTGACTTCATGGTGTTCCTGGGGATGCTGATGAGGGAAAACCCTGCCCAGGGGAGTGAGGTGGCAGAGCCTGCTATAGTGGTGTTTCCCACTTCCTGGTCAGCATTACGTGAGCTGGAGCAGGGGCAGGGTTGGGATAACTGAGGCTGTCACATCGCGTTCAAAGCTGGAAAGGAGAATACCCAGCAGAGAAAAAGGAACTGAGCTGAACAGCCACCAAAGACAACAAAGGAAAGGCTTTCTTGGGTCAGAGATTGTCTCCTGGGTCCTGCAGCTTTGGCTGAGCAAAGATTTCAGGGGCTTGTCCCAAACTGCAGTGTGTTAGCAGCCCATCCCTCCTCAAGTGTGGTGGGTAGCGGGAAGGGGGTGTGAATACGCTGTTCATTGTCCCATCCCATTGCCATTACTAATGTTACAAGCAGGCTGTGATGACACTTATCTGCCAGGGTCATGGCCTGGTTCACAGAGCTCAGACACCGTCAAAATGCCAGTTCTGAGCCCTGAGCCTCCCGGGAGATCTCTGTGGGCTGACATGAAAACATCGCCGGGCTGGAATGAGACCCCCAGTGACCCAGGAGAGATTTACTGCAGCAGGGTTAAAGCTTTCCCAGTGAAATATGTGCCAGCAAGGCTCCCTAATGGGAGCAGAGTGTAATTCTGGAGTGGGGAGTGGAATGGAGACAACACAAAGCGGTCAAGGAGCAGAGGAGCAAGAGACTAATGAGGCAGAGCCGGCATGGTCACAGGTTGTCATTTAACCTCCTTATCTCCATTTTCCAAAGGGAAATGCAGGCGTAATGCCCACCTCCAGACCCCTTTGAGTGTTGTAGCTGAGAGGTGTGTACTTAGGGTTGGAAAGGACCTTAAGATCACCCAGTTCCAACCCCCTGCCATGAGCAGGGACAGCTCACACTAAACCATGCCACCCAAGTAAACCATTACTTAGACAGTTACTGTTCTGTATGGCCAGAAGCTGAGTATCCTCCCACACCACTGAGCTCTACTACGCTGACTACAACAACCCCCCTGAGGAGCCAGCTCTTTCCTCCCTTACGGTGATTTAGGTTTGTACAAGGACATTAACGCTTGCCTGTACTCTTGCCGCTGGAGCACAACAAGCAAAACTCCTCACTTGGCTGCTGTGATGGGGAGAGGAAAAGGCAAATCCCTCTGCCATAAATAAATCAAGTACATAAACGAGGGGTTCTGATGCATTTTGGTTTGTCACTTGCTCCTGTTCGAGACGGTATGTTAATGCCAATGAACTTTACATGGCTGCGATACAGCTCTCCTCTCTTCTATGAGTTCCAAGTACACTGAAGTGTAAGCTAAGTGTAGAGGCAAAGTAAAGGTTTCTAGCAGCATGTAATTCCCTCTGCACACCAAACTGCCTTGTAGTTCGCAGCGCAGTGCACACACTGCTTGTGTGTGTTGGATTAGGGTGATAACACTGCTTCTACCTGTAAAGAAAGCTTCTGTTCCAGCTACAAAACTCCATCCCAATATGACAACTGCTCCGCCTTGGGAAGGCCTCTGAAGGTTCCCTTCAGAGGGACCAGTCTCTCAGGCAGACTTCTTAAGTTTTCCATTTCTGCCATCATCCTTTTCCAGCCCGGTGCTGCTCTGGGTGTAGGAGGCACAGCCCAGCGTGCCCTGTGGCACAGCCCGGCCACACTGATGGCCATCCCCATGGCATCATCCCTGTAGGGAGGAAGACTGGAAAGAGCTTGCAGGTCTTGCTCGTAACTGAGCTTGCTGGAAAGTCACATCTCTGCACAAAATGAATGTGTCCTCTGCTCACTGGATCATGGAATCATGGAATGGTTTGGGTTGGAAGGGGAACTCTTCCTGTTCCAACCCCTCCCAGGGGCAGGGACACCTTCCACTAGAGCAGGTTGCTCCAAGCCCTTGTGTCCAGCCTGGGGCTTTGGTTTGTGACCTGTGGCATCTGATACATCAGGGTTTGATGCTGCGGTGCCTTCCTGTGGGCTCCCTGAGAGCTCTGATGCCAGAGCCAGGCTGGCTCCCTCCCGCTGCCACTCACGAATACAACTGGAAACCAAGATGCAAAGTGTATTTTAACCACCTTCAGCAGCCTTAGAGCCTGGAGTTTGGAAAAGGAACAAATTCCCTAAAGCTCTGCCATGGACAGCTGAAGTTTTCACTGAAGCGCTGCAGCCAGGAAGGGTTAAATGGCTGTGAGCTGCTGCAGGGTTGTTTCTTCTGCTTCACTAAGATGAAAAAACCCAGAAGTTAGCTTTTCTCCTGCAAGAATGTAAATGTTGGGTGTTTTGTCGAGTGATTTCTCAGCCCTGCAGCCATCCTTCAATTTGAAATGCTAGATTAAAAAAGAGAGAAAGAAAGAAAACATTTCCGTCAGCCCGAGCACACTTTGCAGACATTATGGGAACTGTCGCCCGTTCTGTTTCCTCTAGTCACTGAACCAATCTTTTGCATTAAAATCAGCATAGTAGTAAATAAACATGTTTTTTTCGAGCCCTGGGGCCATTCTGGGACATGAAATGGTACTTTAGAAATGTTTCTTTCTCCATCACAGAACGTTTTTAAGAAGCTCATGGCTGAAGGGAAGGAAGATGCTCTCCTGGCTGCAGCATTAACAGCCTTTTTGCTCTCTCAGAGCTGAGGGAGGCCCTGGGCAAGTCATGGCACTTGGATTTTCCATCCTACTTAAGCACCTGGGGAAGAACAGGAGCTCTCCGCCTATGCAGGATGTCGCAGCTCCCCATGGATGTGGCCTGGGGATTCCAGAATCCACACCACTGATTCCCATCCCTGTGGGAAAATACAGCCAGTAAATCGTGTCCTGTGTCCTCTGGAACACAGGGATGCTCTGATGTTGGCTGTGGTCCCTCAAGGAGGGACATGGGGCTGGGGCTGGCTGTTCCCACTGGGATATGTATGCTTCAGGAGGTATTTCATGTATTTGGACTGGAATGAAACTCAGAGGCTCTGCTATGTCCAGGAAGTGGCCAAATGGGCCATAACTGCCTAGTTCCCTCCTCTGTGAAATGGCCAATGGGTGTCATGCAGTGTTTGTAGCATCACATTGGGATGCTTCATGGAAGCGGGTGGAGAGGAGCAGGGAATGTCCCATTGTAAGGGCAGCAGGATTGCCCTACCTCGGAATGCACTTTGGGATAGATTTCTCATGCATCATTTCTTAAAGAAACCCCCGATTTTCTCTTGCGCAGCAAAGCAAATGTGGCCGTCCCGACCTGACAGCTTTGCCGCGTGTCGAGCGCTAATGGCATTCCTCAGCCTTGGGCAGCTCTAGGCTGATTTAAAAAACTGGGGATATTTTGGTGCAGATTTTAGGGCATCCTCGAAATGATGAATGCTGAGGGAGAAACTTCCAGATGCAGAGAAGTTCTGCCGCGGTCTCGATGCGGAACAGGCAGAAAGAGGCTCGCGCTTTAAAGAGGGTTTCTGTGATTCCTTTGAAATGTGTTTGGGAGATGTGGGGTGAAGGCTGTGCACTCGAATCACGCAGATCTGCTGCTGATTTGAATATTAGAGAAGCAACAAAGCAAAATGAGTTTTTGTTTTAGGCTACAGGAGTGGGGATTTGCCCAAGAAGATAAAAGAAAGTGAGATAAATAACATGAAATGAATAAAGTAAACGAAAGCAAAAGATAACATGGAATGAAGTAAAACAGACCAAGATAAAATGAAAAGAAACAAAGTGAAATAAAATAATGAAGGAAAGTACAATAAAAAATAAGAGACATAAAGTAAAATAAAAAATAAATAAAATAAAAAAAGAAATAATAGAATAGAATAAACCAAGGTAAATTAAAAAAATAAAAATATAAAATAATAATAAACCATAATAAAGTAAAATAATAATATACCAAACTAAATTAAAAAAAATAATATTAAACCAAGCTAAAATAAAAACATTAAAATAATAAAATAAATAAAATAAGATAAAATAAAAAAGATAAAATAAGTAAGATAAAAAAAGAGAAATAAAATAAGATAAAATGAAATAAAATGAAATGAAATAAAATAAAATAAAATAAGATGAAATAAAATAAAATAAAATAAAATGAAATGAAATGAAATAAGATGAAATAAGATGAAATAGATGGAATCAATAGGATAACCCAGACCCGGACCGAGCCAACCTCGCCCTGGGTCCCGCGCTCCGCAGGGGCGCACCCGGCGCGCGGCCGCCCCGCCCCGTGACCCGCCCGCGCTCGGCCGCGCCCTCCCCGCGGTGCCCGGTGGGGGCTGGGGGTGTCCGCGCCGGGTCCCGCCCCGCGGCCCCTCCTCCCGCGCGGGGCAGCCCGGGGGGGGCCGGTCCCGTCCCACCCCCCCCCCCGAACCGCCGCCCCCCGCCCGCAGCGGGCGGCCCGGCCCGGTCCCGTCGGGGCCGTTTCTCGGCGGCTGCCGGGCGAGGTCAGGCTCGGTCCGCGCGGAGCGGCCGGAATCACTTCCTGCTGCAGGCCCCGGGCAGCCTCCATGGGGCCGGCGCCCCGCAGGTGAGCGGCGCGGCCGGGCCCGGCGGGCGGGGAGCGGGGGGGCGGCCCCGGGAGGCAGCGCGGTGGGAACCCCCCGCCGGCAGCACCCGGGCACCCCCCGGCACCCGCGCTGCGGACGCGCACCGCGCTCATCCCCCGCTGCCCTTCATTGTCACGGCGCGGTTACCGGAGGCAGGGCTGGGCTCAGCCCCGGGGGTGCGAGAGCGGGTTCGGGGGGGCTGGGAGGAGGGAAGGGGGGACCCAGGGGGGCCGGGACCCCGGCCGTGGGCAGCGGGGTTCGGGGGTGGGTTAGTTCCTGCTGTTCCCAAGTCTTGCACCAGTGTGGGAAACCGGGAAATGGGGTGGTTATTATTAGCGATACCTTCCCGAGGAGCCTGCGCTGCCCGATGCGTGGCTTGTTTGCTGCTGGCACCATGCAGGCGCAGGCTCGGACTTTCTCTCACAGGGGCGGAAAACGCAGGGAAAAAGGGAGGCAGTCAAAAAAAGCCGAACCTAAACCCCAGCAGAACGCTTAAATTTGGAGTTCAGGAATGATGCCGGGGGTCATTGGGGTGCCCGGTGCTTGCTTGAGACCAGCGGCCGTGCCCCCATCCCGGCACGGAAACCACCCCAAGGCGTTCCTGTGCGTGTCGGGGGCGAAGTGGGGTCCGTGGCTGGGTGTTGCTGGGTGGGCGCGTTCCCCCGCTGCCGCAGCCTGCAGCCTGCTGTAGTTAAAGTGCCTTTGCTGTGCTCAAGGACTTCTCCAAACATCTTCCCTGCTGTAGGGAAATGAAGCGCCGGCAGCTCCCTGCGTGCTGCGCTCCTCCGGGCTCCGCCGTACCCAAGTGCAGGATCAGTCCCAGCCAAGTCTCCATTACCCGCTGGGTCATTAATTTGAATAGTCCCCTTCCCACCCCTCCCGCTTCCTTGCAGGAGGCATTTGTGGGCATCTTGATGTGCTTCGTGCCTGCCAAATGCTTGCCTCGCGCCCGGTGTAATTGCGGGGCTGGCGCGCTGCTTTACCTCCTCCGGCTGAAATATTAAACAGTGGGAGCAGTTGGGATGGGGAAGCAGACCGGAATGATCGCTGCCCTCCCCGTGGCGGAGGTGCAAAGCCCTTCGGGTCCCCAGTGCCCACTGCGGGTGACCTGGCCCCACTCTAGGACCTGAATCACCTTGTTCATAGCCTGCTATTAAATAAACCCCTTCAACTAAAGGGAACAAAGCTGAGCCTTTCCCTGTTAGCTGAACTGATGTTGTTTACCCAGCCTAGGACAGTCAGTCTGTGACCTCAAGGTGGGGGTAATGGAGGCAATAATAGTTTGATATGAAGTAAGCAGCAAATATAAAATAATTAGGGATCTTGTTTTCCTCCTCCTGGGAATAAATGTCCTTCTGTAGCCATCACTGCTGCGGGTTTGGGGTTTTTCCTCCTATACAGGCCTTAGAATTAAGACTTCATGGGATGAAAATGGTGATATTGAACCCTAAAGGGTGGGGATGGATTTCTGCAACTTAAAATTTGTCAGAGAAAACTTCCAAGGCTCGCTGCATGATGCAGGCAGCTGGGAAAAGGCAACGTTTTAATGCCTTTGGTTCCAGGCTCAGACCCCCTGCCTGGGGTTTCACCCTTTGGACCAGACCATGCTGGCCAAGAAGTGGCCCTGCGGCAGGGGAGCAGATGCTGCTTCCTCTCTGTGGGTGCTAGTGACAGGTCAGTGTCTCTGTGGGGTGGCTGTGTGCTGGTCTGGGGGACATAGAGCATCATTACTGCTCGTGAGCCCAGGAAAGAAAACTCCCTCTCCTTGAACTTGAAGGAGCCTGCCCATAAGGTCTTGGTAAGTCCTTCCTGGACTAGGTTGAGGTTCAGATCCCAAGCTGAGATGTCAGGAGGTGTGTGGCTGCTTTGCGGCATTGCTGGTTGGCCCTTGAGGAAGAAGTACCAAGAAATCTGCTGGCAAAGCCCGTTTGTCTTGGTGAGCTCTGGGTTTGCTTCAGAGAAGCCTCCAGGCTGGCATGGACCTGCCAGACTGGGGACAGAGCTCATGTCAGGATGGAGACACTGGCACAGGGTGCCCAGAGAAGCTGTGGCTGCCCCATCCCTGGCAGTGCTCAAGGCCAGGTTGGACACAGGGGCTTGGAGCAAGCTGCTCCAGTGGAAGGGGTCCCTGCCCGTGGCAGGGGTTGCAGCTGGGTGAGCTTTGAGGTCCCTTCCAACGCAAAGCATTCTGTGATTCTAAGGCTGTCCAGTTTTCCTGCCAGGCCTCGTGGAGGGCCAGTGCTGGGCTGAGTTGCTCTGCAGGGGTGTGATGTATCTAAGAGGCCTTGATGGACAATCCCAGTACTGAAGTTGGTTGGCGGCTCTGGGATGCGTGGTGACGCAGTGCTTGGATTAGGGATAACCATAGCAGAACCACCTGCAGAGGGGTGATGGGATCTGCTCTTGCTTTGCTCTGTGCAATGCCTGTGTTTAAAAATACCCAGGCCTGACAAAATGGGGTTAGAAGGAAGCTTCAGTCATGGGTTTGAATATTCCCAGGTTTTCTGAGCCAGCCAGCTCTCTAAGGTGGGAGATGGGCTGGGATGTGCCAGGCCAAAAGGAACCACTCCTGGAGAGCTGCAGGGATGTTGAGGAGCAGGGGGGCTGCACTTTAATTGCATTTCTTTATTTTACTACTTTCCCTATATTTCTTTGAGCTCACTTGAATGCAGTGAAAGAAATAAAACAGAGGCATTCAGCTGGAGGAAATTAAAGTGAATTCAAGTTCCCTGCCTTACCTAATGGGCAGAGAGGGCATTGTGTCTTGCTGCAATTAGCCTTCAAATCGAGCCTGAGCTCGTGTTGACCCTCCGAAGAGCAGCTGCCCGGCCCTTCTCTGCTTTGCCTGGGGAAGTGGAAGCAGATGCAAGAGGCTCCAGCATGCAGCTGGGGCAGGCACACCTATGGGAGGTGTTGGGGGGGGGTGTGGGGTGTGTTTCTCCATCATTTTGTTGACATCCAGGCTGCAGAGCGGTTGAGAAGTAGGTGAGGCTGTGCCTGTGCTCTACCTGCCTTGATTTGCGAAGTGACAGGGATTTTGACAGGCTTTGTGTCTTTTTTAGCAAATCAAGTGTCATGCCAGGTTTGCCTGTGGATGAGATCATTTGCAAAATATGTTTCCCAGCTTGCTTCAGGCATAATTCATTGTGTCAACTGCAATTGCTCATTTGCGAGGAGCTGTGATTCATTAGCGGTTTATTTTTTTCTGAGTTCAACTTGGTTTTAAGCAAATGTTTGGAGGCAGAACAGAAATTGAGGGAAATTATTAAACCTTGCGCTCTTTGTATCCAAACCCGCTGCTGGGAAGGGAGAACTTGCTAAAATGCCATCAGGAGGAAGAGGCAGTCGCTGGGCTGTGCAGGATTGCGCTCGGGTTTATCGTGTGGTTACTCCTAAATGGGGACGGAGGTAATAACAACCCGACTGCTGGGACGGAGCCTGCCACGTAGAGCCTGGAGAGGTGGAAGGAGCACATGGAGCTTCCTCCTTCTTTTCCGTGGTGGGGGGGTTCAGCCTGCTGAAGGTACCACATCTTCCTCATCCCCACATTCAGCTGGGGCAGAGGCTGCCCTATGGATGATGGATGGGGGGGTGCTGGTGTTTGCAGCCCTTGCGTGACACCAGCTCTTCCCCTGAGCTCCTTCATGGAGGAGGCCTTGGGGCTGGTGGAGATGGGAGCAGTTGCTTGTTACGGTGACCGGCACCCCCCAAAAGCTGATGGCTCAATGGGATAAAATGAAGATAAATAGCCCTTGGCACGTGTTCTGTGCTCTCTGTGTTCCCGGGGCCGTTGCAGACATCGCAGTTTGGCTTCAGTCTTTTTAGAGGTCCTCACGTCAGACTTCTTAAAAAAAAAAACAACCCAAATCTGCATGTCAAGTACATTTTTGTGTTACATTTCCTATGAAGACAAATATTTCAGTGCATTTTTTCCCCTGGGTGGGTGGATGGGGGGGCAGAAATCACTGCTACTGCTTCAGCAGCCACAAACTACCCTCCGATAACAAACCAGTCTGTGTGGGCTGCATAAATTGATAGATTTTTCACAAAAAAGATTGATTTTTTTTTCTATTTTTTTTTTTAAGTTCTAAGTGATTAAGTACATTTGAACAGAAGTCACTTGACAGGTTTTCTTTTCCCCGTGCAGCAATTCCCTGTAAAGTACTCTTAAAATGGGTTTGTTGGTTGGGTTTTTCTTTTTCCCCGAGTATTTGCATATTCTCTCTCTGGTTTTCTCCCAATATAAGGTTTGTCAGATTAAAAGCCAACAAGACCTGGGAACGGGGGGAGCTGATGGTAACGTGGGGAGTCTGCTGACCCGCGGCTCGCCGGCGCCGTGCCCAGGCACTGCTGCTTTGCTGCAGAGGCCAGTGCCAGGAGCGAAGGGCAGCAGAGCGTGAGGGGAGGGAGGTGACTCCATCACAGTGGCCATATATAGTCACTGGGATGGGATTAAACCCTTCATCTCCCGGAGTCATCCCTGCGGCAATAAAGCCAATATCGGGATCTGTTAATCATTCGCAAAACCAAGAGGAGAAGAATCCTCTTCCCTTCGAAGCATCTCATTTGTAGCCATCAGGGCTCTTCTGGATCACTCGATTTGGGGACAGGAGCCAGATGTTTTTCATCCCTGGGTGTCTGGAGACTGGGTTTCGGTGAAGAATAGAGTGTGTGAAGAGTTGCAAGTTAAATATGACCGAGCTTGTGCTTACTCAGGCTCGTGGGCTCGGTGGCAGAGCAGTTGTGTGGAAAGGGTCCTGTGTTCGGGTGCCAGCGCTGGCTCGGCTCCACGCGCGCGTTCTGATCGTGATATCCACTGGGGAAGCATATGGCAGCCTCGGTTATATATATATATTGTGTGGGGGTACATGTTTTACATGCCAGTTCTCTCTGTCATAGGACAAACATTTACGCTCTGATTATATGAAGCATTAGGCAAACAAGGGTTAGGTTTGGAAATAGCATAATTCCTTGCGGAGATGCTGTGGAAGGTGCGGTTAAGTGATGACACGGCAAAGGAGTGATAACGTTTCGGTACCCGGTGCTTTCCAGGGTGCTAAGCTCTGAGTGGATTGTGCTAGATAGAGGTGGAACATGCAGGTGTATAAATAAAGGGTTGGCAGTTCAAGGTGTGCAATGCAGAAGGCAATGGCCAGGTGCCCAAAAGACGCAGGG